AAATTGATAGGGTTTGGGAAATAATTCATAGAGGAGATTGTAAGTTTTTATATTTAAACGTCACAAATGCGGGAGACTTAGGATGGAATCTTGGGAGAATGTGGGGAGTGCGACTCTACCAACCAGGCCCTCGCGCGGATAAGGGGGGACGCATTTTAATAAAAAAAGAACCACTATGTAATGAGCCATCTGGAATTGGACCAAACCCTGCTATAGCGAAAGAAATGAAAAAAGAAAAAACTTTAATTCCCTCTACTCCTAGGGCTATCTTGGCCACGAACTCTAACTTGGAATCCCAAATAGAAGAGGAAGTTTCAACACCTACTCCACGAGTAAATCCATTGTGGAACATATTAAAAGCTACTTATCATGTGTTGAATTTTACCAACCCCAATATAACACAACACTGCTGGTTATGTTATGATATCAGGTCACCTTTCTATGAGGCAATTGGGATTACTACTGAGCCAACAAAAGTTACTGGTGCCAATCCAGCCCCATGTCTATGGCATGAGGAAAATAAACGGGGTTTGACTATGTCACATGTATCAGGGGTGGGAAAGTGTATAGGTAATATCCCTACCAACAGACGACACCTGTGTACCACTATTGAAAAAGACCCGAAAAGACAAAGTCCAGCAGCGGATTGGTTATTACCCACTAAAAATGCGAAATGGCTTTGTTCTCAGGCAGGCATTACTCCTTGTGTGTCTCTAAAAATCTTTGACAGCACTATTGAATATTGTATCCAGGTAATTATTGTGCCAAGACTTATCTATCATCCGGAAAACTATGTTTATGATTATCAAACTACTCAGTCTCATAATTTACAAAAATGTGAACCATTCACAGCGTTCACTGTGGCAGCCCTTATGGCTATTGGAGCGGTTGGAGCAGAAACTGGAATATCCTCTCTCGTACAGCAAAACCACAGGTTTCAATCCCTGAGGCTGTGGATGAAGATTTGACTAGGATAGAAACAGCGATGACAGCCCTAGAAAAATCTGTAAAATCCTTATCAGAAGTTGTATTACAAAACAGGCGAGGGCTAGACTTAATGTTCTTACAACAGGGGGGGTTATGTGCTGCTTTGCGTGAGGAATGTTGTGTTTTCGCGGACCACGGGGGGGTGGTCGAAGATACGATGTCTAAGCTGAGAGAAGGCTTAGAGAAACGACGAAAGGAGCGCACAGCGCAGAGTGCTTGGTATGAATCCATGTTTAATTACTCCCCCTGGATAGCTACCTTGTTATCCACAATTGCGGGACCCCTGCTCCTTTTAATCCTAACTTTAACGTTTGGTCCATGTATTTTTAATCGATTAATCGCTCTTATAAAACGACGGCTGGAGGCTGCGCACCTTCTAGTATTACGGACGCAATACGACCAAGTTCCGGACGAAGAACACGCTCTGACTCTCCAAAAAGCAAAAGATGTCTTAGAAAGATTTCACGAACAGAATCAATGAAAAAAAAAAAATTAGGGAATTGTGATAAACTATATATATTTTTTAGATTGTTTTTGTTAAGCTTACTAACACTTCATACTATGGATGTGTGATTTCTATATGTATTTCTCTCATGGTTGTTAAGGCTACATATATACATTTTAAAGGGTTTTTAAGCTTAGTAGAAATATGCATTCCCCACGTAACTGTGGAATGCTGTTAACAAACTGCCGTTTGTTCCCAAGGTTGATGGTGGAAGGGGGGGCAGTCTGAGCCTGTAATTTACAGGGCCCTGATATCATCCGAAGCGACAGTCTGGAGACACGAGAGGCTCCCCTAAACAAGAAATCAAAAGGAATGTGATAAGCCTGGGAGGGGAGGAGAATACCTTTTAAATGCGCATATTCCAAGCTGGGGTCATCTGCCGAACACAAAGGAGAAATCTTCCTCGCAAAGCCCCCAGCCCACAAAGAAACCCCCAGCCGACCGGCGCCAGAGAGCCCTGCCTGGGAACATGTATGGGAGAAACTTTGTAACTGAGCATGTGCAGAGAGCACATGCCCTGGACCATGTATAAATAAGAACCTAAGTACTGAGCATGTCTAAACAGGAGCCCACAGGGTTCAAAAAGGGAGTTTGAGAAGTCGAAGGTGGGCGAACTGTGTGAGAACCTAAGTTCCAGCAGTCCCCCCGGCGAGCCGTGATTGTTCATTTACCGCTTACTAATAAATTGGCTTGTTATTTTGCATTTGCTTTCTCAACTTTCTTAAATTACCGCTAGTAACTTATAACACAGCACAGAGTGCCCCTGTCCAAGCTGTGGGTTGCCAGTTTTTTCAGGAGTATATTATGGGAGACAGTGTCAAAGGCTTTGCTGAAGTCCAGATAGACCACATCCACAGCCTTCCCCTCATCCACCAGGTGGATCACCTGATCATAAAAGGAGATCAGGTTGGTCAGACAGGACCTGCTCCTCCTAAACCTGTGCTGGCTGGCTCTGATCCCTTGTCCATCCTGTAGATGCCATGTGATTGCACTCAGGATGATCTGCTCCATAACCTTGCCAGGCACTGAGGTCAGGCTGACAGGCCTGTAGTTTCCCAGGTCCTCCTTGCAGCCCTTTTTGTAGATTGGCTTGACATTCACCAACCTCCAATTGTCTGGGACCTCCCCAGAGAGCCAGGACTGTTGGTAAATGATGAAGAGCGGCTTGGCAAGCTCTTCTGCCAGCTCCCTCATCACCCTAGGATGGATCCCATCTGGTCCCATGGACTTGTGTGGATCCAGGTGGCTCAGTCACTGACTATTTCCTCCTGGAATACAGGGGGGCTGTTTGGTTTCCTGTCCCTGTCTACCAGCTCCAGAGAACAGTTGTCCTGAGGGCCACCTGTCCTACTGGTGAATACTGAGGCAAAGTAGGTGTTAAGTACCTCAGCCTTCTCCTCATCCCTGTTAACTATGTTTCCCCCCAAGTCCAACAAGGAATGGAGGTTTACCTTGCCCCTCCTTTTGTTCTTAATGTATTTATAGAAGTGCTTTTTGTTATCCTTAACAGAAGGAGCCAAATTGATTTCAAATTGCGCTTTTGTCTCTCTAATGTTCTTTCTGCATGACCTAGTTATACTCCTAAACTCATCCTGAGTAACTCCTAAACTCATACTGAGAAGGAGCATCCTCAGACCTACAGTGCTATTTCTACACTGAAACCGTTGCATCTTATTTAACACACGAGCCGATGTTGTATGAAAAAAAAAAAAACACATAACACAACAAGCTATCTGAAAAACTTTTGTTGTTGAGTAACTAAAAGGCAGGCAGAGACTAAGGAACACTGATGGTTTAGGTCAAGGTGATACTGAAATATTTTTTCTGTATTATAGTCAACACTGGAAGAATCCTGCTCCTATCAGAGTAATATGAGTCCTCTACTGTCTGTTTTTAGTAACTTTTTACTAACTTGAGTCAAAAAAAGGTTGAAAGAAATCAGAGAACACAAATACTTTTGCTTTTATTTGAAAGTTTTTTGCTTTGGGTTGTTTGGTTATGTTGCTTTGTGCTTTGTTGGGGGTTTTTTGTTGGTTTTTTTTTTTCCATTGGGAGAACATTAAAATTGTTTTCCCCAAGGCTGCAATTTCTGAACCCAAACATGTAGGCTTTATGCTATGTTTGAGTTTTAACTGCAGTTCACCTCATTAGGTGCAGAAGATACCATCTCATTTTTCTTACATGGATCAAAGCATACCCCAACAGAACTATAAGTATTATATTCTTTCTCCAATGGAGAAGTCCTGGCAGTTATGCCCAGTGTCTTAAATTTAAGCTCTCCCTTTAACTATACATAAAGAGGAAAGTGAGAATTGAAACAGGCCTTCTCCAGAGTTCCCCCCCCCATATTACTTTGCACAGCTACAGCCCAAACCCATTTCTTTTGCTTTACTTAAGTGTTGGAACCATATTATTAGGCACCTCTCCCTTGACTTTTCACAAACTTAAGAATCAAAGTCTCTAAGAATTTAAGTTCCCTGCTCATCCCCTGTCCCTTTCAAGACAGCTAGCCGCAGACATTTAATAAGTCTTGATCCACACCCCTAAAACAAGTAATTCTGAGCTATGCATATTCTTGCATAGCTTTCAGCAGACATTGTTTCCTTGGCTAACCCCAGGATATGCAATACCCTAAACTCACAAATGTTTCTTGCTACTGAAAAACATACTTTCACCCTATTTTGACAACGTAAAAAATTGAAATATTTTTGATGTTCTGCGAGAAAAAAATGCATCATAAAGGAACAAGCAAAATTTATTCCAAGACATTGTCTTACAAGACAGAAGCCAAGTTTCCCTTGACCTAGTTAAATAGGAATGAAGAGTCCATATTTTGGGTTCCCAAGAACCTTTCTTTCAAGAGCCCTGATTAAAAAACATTTCCACGTAGAGACTGTCCTGATCTACTATTTACAGAGGGAGCCCCCGGTGGTCTAGGGGAAAAGACACTGAACTGTCACTGCAGAGACCCGGGTTTGATTCCCGGTCGGGGCCCCTCCCCAGGCAGATGGAGTTCGTTAGCCCGTAAGGCAATCCATCTACGTCCTGAGGACCTCGCTGCCACTGTCCAAGCTCGCTTGGCCCCGGCAGATGAACCTCAGGATTAAAGGGTGGGCTCAGTTCCACGCACTCTGTGTCTCACCTAAAAAATCCAATGCGCAGGCTGGAAGGTGTAAAGACCTTCCCCGGTTCTTCGTTCGCGAAGACTGGCCATTACTTTACATTACTTACTATTTACAGACAAAATGACTACCCAGAGAATTACCATGGTCAAGGATATAAAGGTTAGAATCAATTGCCACAACTCTGATTCTTTTACTCTATTGAAACCTGACAATGTTTTATCTCAGCATCTCATCTGCATGCTAGCATAGTAATCCCCTTCAGCCAAGACTTAAGGAGACCAATCACTATGCTATCATGATGTTCAGATAGCCTCATAAAACTTATACTGATTATGATGTAAATGGTTACCTTAACCAGGTTCTAAGAGAGTCATCAATTTTACCTGAAACATATTCTCATCTCTGTTACTGCTTTGCTTAGAAGAAGCTGGACCTTTTGAACTTTCACCAGGCTTTTGTTTCTTTACGGGCTTTTCTGGAACTACTTGCTTTTTCCGCTTTGCCTTGGAGCAAGAATAAAAAAAGAAATTCATGAACCACAACTCATTTTATAAGTTATAAAAAAGTTTATGTTAGAGGTCACAAACCTGTGAAGGCAGGAATCCAATACTGTACATTAAGCCTGGAATTTAAAAAAAATTAAAAACCAGAAAGATCTTCAAATGAACCTATTTCTGTGTTCAGTGAAGTTTGCCATAATAATTTGGCTTTAAAGAGAAATGAATTAGAACAAAAATACATTTCAAAAAGTCTACTCTATTTGTGCAGTAATACTATCAGTTTTAATTAAATTCATAAAGTCTGATAGAAGTTTCACTATCCTTTCCAAAGAGTGCAATGAAAAATGGGGAACAGCTAACAACTCTGCAAAAAAAAAAAAAAAAAGGAAATAAAAGTAGATAAAGAGAAGATTTTTTTTTTTTAATCGGAGTCCAATCTCTGTTCATAGCATGATAAATTAAACATGCTTTTAAAACATTCAGATGATATCACCTGTAAATCAGATTACTTTGCTAGCAGATGCTACAGCATGTTACATTTCTACTAATAGTTATATAGTAATCATGTCTGCCCTAAAGAAAGAGTAATACAAAGACACCAAAAATTATTCTCCCCTGCTAGAATCATACTGTAGATAACCTCTTTTAAAGACAAACAGTTCAAAAAAATATCGGCAGTTGTCATAGAAAAAAAACCAAAACCAAAACCAACCACCTTACTGCCCACTGAAGCTGATTGTTAGACTATGTCTTTTCAGGAATACATTTCCCTGACAACTACAAAAAAAAAATATCACTTGACCATTTTCTCTTATATTAAGACTTCACAAAACAACTAATTTGCTAAGTGCAAGTCACATTTGAACCAATTCAGTAAATCAGACCAAGTGTCTTCACATACTGCACTGAAAGACCTAATGTCTGCATTACCACCTAGCATTTCTTAAAAAGATAAATTGACTGTTCAATTTTTTGTTTGCAATGACTGATATATCTATACAAATTTATAAATTAAATAACTATTAAAAATAAATGAGAACATTATATTCATGCATTTAAAGCAGTTAACATTAAAATTATCAACTCAAAGACATTTAGGTTGGCTCAGCTTTTAAGTAAGAAGCTAGCAGATGGTATTACAGTAAATGTAAGACTGAAATAGATAAAAAGAAGTGTGATCAAGATAAGCAAGTGGCACATGGATGACAGGGCAAGTGGAGGGGGTTTTTTTGGACTTACAAGTAATCCAGATATCAAAATGAAGGTGGGGGGGTGTCCTCAAAATTAGTTCAAATTCTTGTCACCAGGGGCAGCTTGTACAGAAGCCTTCTATCACTTGCCACAAAGCAGCAAAGAATTCCAAGAAGCCTGTGGCTAGATATACTATACAGAAAAACCTGAAGCAAAATGCAACTTAGGAAAAAAGTTTACTGCAAAGCAAAATGTATCCACCCAAACCATAATCTTGGGGGGTTTGAGTAGTGGGTTTGTTTTGTTGGGCTAGGTGTTTTGAGTTAAAGTGTCTGATAAATCATATGGAATGACATGCATTTTGTGACATAACACTCAGCTAATTCCTTAACCCTAGCCTGAAATATAACAGTTAATACAGTAGTTATAAACTGCATATAATGTTCACCTTTTTGTCAACTTCACTATCTGAATCACTGGCAGATGAGCTTGAAGACACAAGTTCCTTGGACTTAGGCATTCTAGGAAGAGAAAGGAAACATGAGAACACTATACAATGAATACATCCTATAATGGCTAGAAAGCCATTTTCAAATCTGTTTATAAAGGCTCATCTTATTCAAAACCCTCCTGAAGACTTTCTTGCCTTTTCATATAAGCTTTAATACACATTGCAGATGTGATCTCAAACACCCTTCCCTCTTATAGCTCTTACCCTTTTTGTTGCAACTACCTTAAATGCAGTTTTTTAGATTCTGAACTGCTTACAAAAGGACAATTTTTCACCTTTTTCATATACCCTGGGTATGGTAGAAACTATAATCAAAATAAACACAATACAAAACTGCTCTCCAGTTGAATTCTCAACATTATGTTCATAAATATATACTATTTAAGGTCCCAGCACTATATATATTCTTACATGGGCATTTTACCTAGCTGAAATTGCGAGTAACAGATGCATAGCTATCATACAGGAAGTTCAAGTTCCCACCATTAATACAAAAGTGTGAAAATATCTCAGTTACAGAGAACTACAGTACTGCAATTAATATTTTCACTGCAGCTTTACCACATCAGTCACTAGAATCTATTCCTTTACTAGACAAGTGGACATTGAACTTTCCTTGAATGCATGCTGCCCAGTGTGCTTCTACATCTCTCCAGTATGCAAATGTGATTAGATACAGTAGTTAAACATCTTGCCTGCTACTAAAAACTCTTTCTAACAAATAAATAGCTCATTTGTGATTTCTGAATAAAAATAAGCATCACAGGGAGGAACTGTATAAAATAAACTAGCTAGGAAAGGCTAATATAATATTAACGAAGCATACCTCAAAAAAGAAAAAGGAATAGCAGTGTTTTTAAATTGGCAATGAAATAAACCACGCGCAAAGGAAAAAACGGAGTCTGAATAATGCTAAGGGATCAATGTGGTTCTAAAGTAGAGTAAATAGTTGTAATAGTTTGGAGCACAAAGATGGAAGCTGTAGCACTGAAAATGAAACAGGGTATGGGAAGCACGCATAAAACACGTTACAGGATGGAAGCAGAAGAGAGCTGGAACAGGACAATGCAAAAATAAGCACAGCAATGCCAAGAAATCGAGAAGCCGAACAAGAAGTCTGATACGCTGGGGGCGGGGCACCTGCAGAGGATAACTCCAGAGTCCGCATCAGGAAGAGAGTAACAATATGGAGGAAGGTGGGGACGGAAACAGAAACAGGGGGACTGGGTTCCCCTCGGGAGAAACTAGTAGGCAGAACGTGAGGAGACACCGAAGCACCGTGGAGAGCAAGGGTGGAATGAGACGGGACAAGCGAAGACGAGGGAAAGGAAGATGAGAAAGACAAACGAGTACGAACTAGGAACACCAGGTAGGCAGATGCCAGCCGCCCTTTTCCTCCCCTTTTCCTCTTTTCTACGGCTCTATTGCCCCCTAGGGGAAAGGAGCGAGAGCCCGGTAAGGGGGCGCGGGCAAGAACACCCAGGTTCCCAGGGCAGGGTGGTAGCAAGAGGGATGCAGATTACTGACAGTGAAGGAGAGAAAAGACAACACAACACACACACAAAAAAACCAAGTCGGAGGTCGTCAGCGGGCAGGACCTGATCCTGGTGCGGGGTGAACGGAGCCGGGCGATTCCTCACCGCCATTTTCTCCCTCACTCAAATCCTCTTTGCTCCTCCAACATGGCAGCAGCTCCTACTCCCGCCCCAAGCCTGCTCCGCGGCAGGGCATTCCTCCCGCAGAGCACAACGGGCACTCGAAGAAAATGGGAAGCCTCGCCACACAGTTACCCTGCGCGCCTCTCCTGCGCCAGACTAGGAGATGCCGACCTCTCTACAACTGGGGGTGAAGGATAGAGAAAATTACAACAGCCCTAACTAAACACGAGAAAGAACCCAAATGCTCACATCTCACTCCGCACGCGGCTCCCCTCCACCACAAAAGAAACAGAAGTGATGCGTCGCAGAATCCCCGCCCTTGCCCTGCACCACGTGGGAGGGGGCAGGGGGAGGTGTTTAAAGAGGACGCGTACCTTTTTAACTCGTTCCTACTTCCCCCGCTCCGGCTAGGACAGCAGCAAAAAAATGTCTCCCACGGGGCTAGTCACCCACATCTCACCAATCGAGGAAGCCCTGTGGGGCCGACGGCAAGGCCTTGCCTGAAGCCAGGCCCCGTCGGGACTGCGGCCCGCTGAGGAGAAGCCTGCCCTCCACTGAAGGGCTATGAGAGGGGACCGAGAGGAGGGCCTTTAATACCTAAAAGGAACCCTTAAAAATAAATCTGTAAATCGTTGTTTTCTTTTGCACGCTACAGCGGTTCCTCGATCTCGTGTAGAGCCGCCCCGCCAGCAGATGTGCCCGAAGGAAGGAGAGGAAATGCTCTGAAATGGTGTAGCTGCGTTGACTTTGCATACCGAAACCGCAGCACCTCAGGCGCTGTTCAGAAAAGTGCCGGTTCCCCTTTCTGTCACCGTGTGACTTGCGTTTTGCTTTCTTCCTGACGGGCTTTGCATATGGGGAGCGGATGAGCCTTATGGCTACTATCTTGGCAGTCACCTTTGTTATAAGTTAGTATAAGAATTTAGACAACTCAATTCCAATTAAAAATTGATAAATGTATTAAGCAAGCGATAATAAAGGAAACAGCGCTGGGTGGCCTGGGGGGCAAGTGCCCTGCCCGAGACACACACTGAAAATGTAGTAAATGTTCCTCTTTATACATTTCCAAGTTTTGAATGCGGCTGCGTTGAGGCTTGAGTTTGTGGTTCATTGCTAAGTGGTCATCTGGGATTTGTCAAAGATGAAAGCTGCAGTTCTTATCAGCTGTAAATTTTACCAATACTGATACTTGTTTGTTAAGTAAGATGTCTGCAATTATTTTTACTGACACTTGCTAATTAACAGGATGTCCATGAAACTTATCTTGTTGATTTATAACAAAAGTTCCTTATTCCCTCATAAACATAAGATTTTATGAACAAAGTTAACAATCTATTACAATCTTGGGTCAAGGTCATGTCTGAAGTGCTGGGGAAAAAACGTTTAAAAAATATATCTCAGCTTCTGTTCTAAACATTTACTTTTTAAAATCCCTCCAAGTAAAAACCCTTGAAAATATAATCTGACAATCTTGCCTACTTCTGTATCATGTTTAAACCAGAACTCTGCATCATATGTGCCCTGCTGATGCCATTTCCTGTATCGGGATTTGAGGGGTGGTAGGTTTAGTTCATCTAAACAAGTATGCAACAGCTTTTGAGATAAACCAAAATGACATCTGTTTGGAGGGAAGGTGGGGAAAGGGTCCCCTGCCCCCATCTTTGTGAAAGGAGAAGACTTTTAGCAGCCTTTACAAACTGCAGTAGGCCAAGCATGCTGTTGGAACTTGAGTGGTTTCATGTTCTGTCTTCTTGATTCAAAGAAATCCTTAAACGATATGTAAAGCACACTTTTATTATGGCCAGGGAGATGCAGGGGGGTTTACCTCCCCCCCCCCCCCCCCCATGCATTCCACTGAGTACAGAAACAAAACAGCTTTTTATACATTTGAAGTTTCAAAATTATCTATCATATACACTCTTTACGAAGTCTGCCTTATCTAAAAAGACATTTGGTTGCCTAACTCCTATTCTTACTACTATAGAGTATGTAATAAACACTGCTATAATTCCTGTCAGTGAAAGAAACAAATGGACTATTAGAGCCTCATAAAAGAACAAAACAGATTGTCAAACTTAATTGCACCCCCATAAAGAAATAAAGCAGACCATTTGTTAAGGTCATCAGGTCATAAGCCATAAACCATCCCTGTTCTCCTAAAAATGAATTATGGGAGAATTTGGTTGAGGCTATGATCCTTTTAGGCGCCTTGTTGTCCAAGAATGTATGAATTATAGGAAAACTATCACTGTTGTAGAGATAACAACCTAGCTTTAGTTGTGAAAATAAACATATGTTAAATTCCTAACATAGTATTGTGAAATGTATATGTATATGATTTAATGAATATGCATGAGATAGCTAGAATAAATGTTAGACAAATGCCATATCGGAGCGTGGGGATTTTGGAGCAAAGACTTCTTCTGTCGCCCAGCATGCTTCTTGCTTTTTCCATATATTAAACTCTTATTCTAAAACCTATCATAACTTGAGACTTCGTTTCTCACAAGTAGTTACATTAAGTTTTATCATTTCTAACAGCTTAGGTTTCCCCCCACCCCTCTTCTGTCTCCCTTGCGATGCTACATGCTAAAAGTCTTTCCCGCTTTCCCTGACAGTCCTTTTTGTTTATGTAAGCTAGCTTTATCTTAATTGCCTGCAATTTGGGCAGCAACCTTCTTTCAGGCAGTTAGAGTCTTGCAAAGTCACATTTAACATAGCTAAATTTTATTACCATAGCTAAATTTTTATTGTATTTTATCGTCTTTATTTCAATTCCCCCCTTTTCTTTTAACTAATGCAAATTCTTTTGCATCACCCTTTGTTAAAGTCCAGAGCACATGTACTTGTTGCGCTATAGTCTTAATCCTCCACCACATCCAGAGATTGATGATTGTCAGAAGGAAAGCTGCCAGCATCAAGACCAAGACAGGGTGGACCAGGAAGTTAAACAACTGGGCTGCAATGGGTGATTGTATATTGGTTATTCCCAGAAATATGCTCCACCAATGATGTTCTCCAGTCTTTGCTTTTGATTGCTGTGGAGGTCATCAGAAGCACTAGGTATGACCCTTTCCACTTCTCATCTATTTGTTGACCTGAAAAAGTTTTAACATACACCCACTCTCCAGGGGAAATCATAGAATCATAGAATCATAGAATAGATTGGGTTGGAAAAGACCTCCAAGATCATCAAGTCCAACCCCTGATCCAACTCCAACTACTATATCATGGCACTAAGGGCCACATCCAATCTCTGCTTAAAAACCTCCAGGGATGGTGAATCCACCACCTCTCTGGGTAGGCTGTTCCAATGCCTGATTACCCTCTCTGTAAAGAATTTCTTCCTAA